AGCCCCGCGGATCCTCCCTCAGCCCCACCTGGGTCCTCCCTCAGCCCCGTGGATCCTCCCTCAGCCCACCTGGGTCCTCCCTCATCCCCACGGATCCTCCCTCAGCCCCACCTGGGTCCTCCCTCAGCCCCGCGGATCCTCCCTCAGCCCACCTGGGTCCTTCCTCAACCCCGAGGATCCTCCCTCAGCCCACCTGGGTCCTCCCTCAGCCCCACAGATCCTCCCTCAGCACCACCTTCGTCCTCCCTCAGCCCCACCTTCGTCCTCCCTCAGCCCCACCTTGGTCCTCCCTCAGCCCCGCAGATCCTCCCTCAGCATCCCTCCCCCCTGGATCCTCCCTTAGGACCCCTGGGTCCTCCCTCAGCCCTCTTGGATCCTCCCTCGGTCCCGCGGGTCCCCCTCGACCCCGCCTGCCCGCCCTGGTGCGCCCCGTAGGAACGGAGGTCACCGCCGCTCGGCCCACCTCGGTCCTAGTAAAGCCACAGCGTCCCACAGACCACGCCCAAGCCCGTGATTGCGTCACACAGCGCCGGCCCCGCCCAATGGGGGTATATCTTCGTGCCTCGCCCACTCTTGCCTCGCCCCGCCGCGGTATACGTCATACCGCGCGACACGGCTTCTGCCACTGACGTCGTGGGCTGCGCGCCGCAGCATGCCAGGCGGTGAGTGAGCCGTGAGCTCATGTATGTCTTCGTCCTTGTCTTAGCTTCTTCCTACCTGAAAGTCCGGACCGCCTGTCCACAGGCCCCTCCGCAGCGACAGAGGCGGCCGCAGGTTGGCACCTCGTGTGGCCGGGAGCAGAAACGGGCGCTGTACCTGTCCTGGGCTCCTCTCCCCGTGGAGTCGGGAGGGAGGGAGGCAGGGAAGGGGACAGGGGGCTGCATCTGTCCTGGGCCCCGTGGGTTCTAGCGGGAAGGGAGAGGGAGCTTCCCCCGAAGACCCTCCTGGACCAGCCGCAGCCTCCTGTGTTGGTGAGGCTGAGAAAGAGGGATGTGGGCACAGGACACGGAGCAGGATTTCCATTTTAGATGCAGCAGGACCTGTCTTCAGGTCCTTCGTTGGTGTGAGAGATAGGGGTACGCCCGAGGAAGCTGGGCGCTCGGCCTCCGTGCAGCCTCATCTCCTGGAATCTGAGTATTGGAAACTGGGCTTTTACCTCGGACACCACAGCACAGCCTCCCATGGGAATCCAGGTCACAGCAAATCAGCCCTGGGCCTCCATTCTCCTGTAAGCAAGCATGACGATCCTCACCTCACTGGGTGTTTATGAAAACTAGCAATGACCTTAGAAAGCAAGGCATGAGCCGGACGTGGTGGCTCACGCCTGTAATCCCAGCACTTTGGGAGGCCAGATCATGAAGTCAGGAGATTGAGACCATCCTGGCCAACATGGTGAAACCCTGTGTCTACTAAAAATATAAAAATTAGCTAGGCATGGCGGCACGCACCTGTATTCCCAGCTACTCGGGAGGCTGAGGCAGGTTAATTGCTTGAACCTGGGAGGTGAAGGTTGCAGTGAGCCAAGATTGGGCCCACTGCCCTTCAGCCTGGTGACAGAGGGAAACTCCATCTCAAAAAAAAAAAAGAAACCAAGGCATGAGCCATGAGCCCAGCTCATTTTTGAGGCTGCAGTCCATTCAGAGAGGTTTCCCAGACTCTGTAACGGCCAGAACAGACGGCCTAGGCCATGCTGCAGACTGTCTCAGAATCTGGGAGTAGTAACCAACTTATGCTTTTGGAAACACCACTACAGGCGGTTCTGAGAAGTCCAAGGGTTACTGGGAGAGGTTGGTGAGTGACATGGAGATTACATGTGTCTTGGAGGTATACTGGGGTCTGTGGCTACATCCTGGGCTGGGATTTGATGAGAACCCATTAGGTGGAAGAACCTTTCTTTAAAAAAAGGTCTCTCAATTCCATGCCTAGCAGGTTGCACGCCAGGGCCTGTACTGACCACATCCACGTGCCACTGGGGCTCTGAGGAGGAATGGCGGCAGTGGGCAGCCTGCTTGGGTAAGCATGAACTTTCAGGTCCCTGGGGATTGCTGTTAGGGGCACCCCAGGGAACTCCTCTCTTCAGCAGGAAACAGTAGTTCTAAGCCTCCCTTGTCCCAGCTATTGTCCACTGTCCCCTGTGCTGGAAGCCTCATGCCCTTGCTCAGCCTGGCAGCCTGTTCCTGGCTAGGGAGCCAGAGTGGCTCTCACCACAGCCTGCGGCTCCTCAGGAAACCCCTAGGCTCATCCTGGCATGTGCCAGCTCTGGTAGCGTCCCCTGTGGCCTGGCAGTGCCCCATCACGGCCAGCCTCAGTCATGTTGGGACTCTCTGCTGCGGCAGTGTCGGCTGACCAGCACTTGCATGTTTATCTGCAGCCTACTAAGATGCAGCGCTGTGAAGGCCACCGGGCCTGCACTCCGCTGCCTGCATACGTCCTCCTGGCGGGCTGACAGCAGCAGGGCCTCACTCGGTCGTGTGCGCCGCCAGGCCTATGCACGTCTCTATCCCGTGCTGCTGGTGAAGCAGGATGGCTCCACTGTCCACATCCGCTACAGGGAGCCACGGCGCATGCTGGTGGTAAGCTTTCCTTGCCAGGTGCTTCCAGGTGCCAGGCTTGGGGCGGGGTTGTGGTGGGAGTGCTGGTGGCCAGTCGCCTTAGGAGGGAGTGTGGCTGTGGTCACTGTGCCACGTGACAGGTGTCGGGGGAGCAGGTGGCTGTTGGAGGAGTGGAGGAGGGTGACATCCCAAACTGCCTCTAAGCACCAACATTAGATAGGACTAACCACTAGTGTGTTTTTTTGTTTTTTGTTTTTTTGAGACAGTCTCACTCTTTCACCAGCGCCAGGCTGGAGTGCAGTGGTATGATCTTGGCTAACTGCAACCTCTGCCTGCTGGTTTTAAGCAATTCTCCTGCCTCAGCCTCCCGAGTAGCTGGGACCACAGGCACGTGCCACCACGCCCAGCTAATTTTTATATTTTTTAGTAGAGACGGTTTCACTATGTTAGTCAGGATGGTCTCTTGACCTCGTGATCCACCCACCTCGGCCTCCCAAAATGCTGGGATTATAGGCGTGAGCCACTGCACCCGGCCTGTGTTTTTATTTTTAAATTTATTTTTTGGGACAAGGTCTCACTCTGTCAACCAGGCTGGAGTGCAGTGGCACAATCTTGGCTCACTGCAACCCTGACTCTCTAGGCTCATGTGGCTCTCCCACCTCGGCCTCCCCCGTAGCTGGGACTGCAGGTGCATACCACCATGCTTTGCTAATTTTTTTTAAAGACTTTTTTGTAGAGATGGGTGTCTCTGCGTTGCCCAGGCTGGTCTTGAACTCCTGGGCTCACGCAGTCCTCTCTCCTCAGCCTCCCAAAGTGCTGGGATTACAGACATGAGCCACTGTTCCTGGCCTCGTTGGTTTTTGTAAACATCAAATCTGGGGAAAACACAGAACAATTTATTTTAAAGATTGAAAGCTTTGAAGAGAGAAACCAATAGAATGTTTGAAAATTAAGCTAGCGTAGGATGGAAGACACAAGTTGAGAGGAAGGCCTTGGGCTGTCACCTCAGTAGCTCTCGAGGTCCCTCTGTCCACGTGGACGAAACTTGGTCTCTCCGCTGCAGATGCCCATAGATCTGAACACCCTGACTCCTGAGGAGCGCCGGGCAAGGCTGCGGAAACGTGAGGCTCAGCTCCAGCGGACAAAGGACTACGAGCAGGAGCTCAGCGATGACTTTGATGTGGAGCGCTACCGACAGTTCTGGGCCAAGACCAAGAAGTGACTGTGGCTCCAGCCACACTGGGACATTGCTAAGATGGGAGAGCAGTTCTTAAATCACACGCTGTCAAAGCTGCCACATGGAGTCTGTGTCTGTGTCTGTCTTCTCACTTGGTGTGTGCCCCAGCGTGGCAGCTTGCCCCTGCAAAGCACGAGCTCAAGCATAGAGAGGGCTCCGTGGATGAGCTGGGTGAGGGCTGTGGGTTTTGGACACTGCTCTGGGGCTGTGGCACACAGGCAACCATGTGGGCAGCACCCAACACCAAGCTCTGCCTTCCCAGCCTCAGAGGCATCAGGGCAACAGCACAGTGGGCCTCCGGTTGGTTCCTAGGAGGGGCTGGGTTTTCTGGGCTCAAGGCATCAGCTTCAGTGGGGCAGCCCTAGGACCACCCTTCCCCGTGGACATAGCTGCAGCTCCCGCCCTGGCCTGCATTCCCACACTGCTCCCGGGAAGGTTCTGCCCTGGGAGGGTCCCCAGAGGAGCAGCCAGCCCTGCTTGTCTGTGACTCCTCATGGGTCATGGGTTATGCAGAGCACTGCAGTTACACACAGCTCAGGGGGATCCACAGACCCTGTTCCATCTGTCCAGAGGCTGGTTTCACTCAGAAGCAGTTCCTGCTGATGTGCAGGTCCCTTCCACGTGCACACCAGCCCAGGTTTCACTCAGAAGCAGCTCCCGCTGATGTGCGGGTCCCTTCCACGTGCACACCAGCCTGGGTTTTGGACAGCTCAGGGCCCGGGCTGCTTCCTGTCCCTGTCTTGGAGTGTTACTGGGTCCCAGCTGGCAGGCTATCTCTCTGACACCTGGTGTCCAACAGGAAGTTCTTGCAGTGGTGTTCTGGGATTGCCGGGGAGGTGGGAGTGTGCTCTGCCATGGCCCTGCGATGACTGCTGCCAATTGAGGAGCTGGGCAGTGTCCCCACATCGCAGGCCTTTCCCTTCCCCTTAAGTTTGTTCCTGGCCCTTTGCTCATCCCTCTGACCTTCAGCTGTGCTGAGGAGAGTCTACAAGGGATGTCCTGTGGCTCTGTGGCCCGGTAGTGCCTGACCTCACGTGGATTGGCTGTGTGGCCGCCTGGGAAGCGATGTCCTCCGGCCCTGTGGCCCGGCTGTGCCTGACCTCACGTGGATGGGCTGTGTGGCCACCTGGGACTCCAGCCCTGTGGCCCGGCAGTACCTGACCTCACATGGATGGGCTGTGTGGCCACCTGGGACTCCAGCCCTGTGGCCCGGCAGTGCCTGACTTCACATGGATGAGCTGTGTGGCCACCTGGGACTCCAGCCCTGTGGCCCGGCAGTGCCTGACCTCACATGGATGGGCTGTGTGGCCGCCTGGGACTCTGCCTTGCAGGGTTACTTCCTGAGCAGGTTCCATGGAGCCCCATCTCTGAATTTGTGGCCTCAATCCCTGTGGCATATAGAGCTGGCTGCCTGGCCGTACTGTGTACTCACTTGGCCCTTCCTCCACTGTACCCAGCCTTCTCCTGCTCTAGTGGACTCCCATGGGGCCCCCACCACCCCTCTGCTCCCTGACCTCCACCCTCCTGGGTCTAGCTTCACTGCTGTCTACATAGAGGGCACCGCTGTGACTAGTGCCCCCGGCCGGGCCTCCACCCAGCAGGCACAGGCCATGCCACCTCCACCCCAGTGAGCCCTCCTGTGGCCTACGGCTTGTCAGGCTAACGGGCTCAAAACTGACCTGGTCTCTTCCCCACAAACCTGGTCCTCGTGTTGCCAAGTGGCTGCATCCTCACAGCTGCCCAGACCGGCGCCTCAGAGCTGTCCTGGACTCCTGCCTGATGTCCACCTGGCCCTGCTGTCCCTTCACCACACCTGACATCCAGTCAGTGGTCAGACTCTACAGCTGGACCCTGCCCCATGGGCCAAGTCCACCCTGGCCCAGCAAGGCGTAACAGCACCCAGGAGACGATGCCCTCCACCCAAGGGAGCCTTCCCAGGAGTTGGCCAGTTGCCCTCAGTGTGCCTGGATGTGGGCTGCTGCTCTGCCCTCTCTGCACCTGCTCCGTGATGTGAACTCAGGCAGCGCCGCAGGAGGGAGACAGCAGCCGGTACTTGCTGAGTAGATGGATGAGCCAGATGTGGGCCGTCTGCCAGGCTGCTCTAACAGCCTGATCCATGGGCTGGGTCATTGAGAAACAGATTTCTCACAGTTCTGGACACTAGACCTGTGTTTTCACCCAGTTCAACCTGTGGCTGGAATTGCCCCAAAAGTCGTGGCAGGAGGGTTCCCACAAGGGAGTGCCCAACACCATCCTGAGATGGGGCCAGTTAGGATTCTGCAGAAACACTGAGCACGCCAGGGTGATGTGCTCAGAGCGTTTATTAGGGGAGCTTCCGTACAGAGCAGGCCACAGCAGTTCTTGCCATGGGCGGTGAAATGAATGTTCTCTTTAGCTATATCCACGGGGAGGGGGTTGGAGAATGGAGTTTATGTGAGGGTTTAAGGAAGCTGGCTCGGGCTGGGTCCAGTTTCTGTTTTGAGAAACAACCTAGATGCTTTCATCTGTGCCTGGGAACGTTCAAGGCTACTGCTCGGGTTCAGTCTGCAGAGGAAAACATACCACCAGCCAGGTCACAGAGCAGCCAAGGGACTTTCTCTGGGAATGAAGTGAAGGGGGAAGCAGGGGGACGCCACAGCGTCCAAAATCAGGGTGCCCAGCATGCTGAAGTTCTGGTGAGGGGTCTCTTCCAGACTGCCACTTCCTATAGGGTCCAGTCCTACAGGGTCCTTTGAGCCCTTCTCTACTGGCGCAGAGACAAGAAACTGTGGAAATAAAAGACAAAAGATACTGAGATAGAGAAAAGTCTGGGCCCAGGGGTCCACTGCTAACCAGTATACGTGGAGACCAGCAGTGCCCCCGAGTGGCTTTTATTGTACAAAGCAGGGGGCAGGGTAGGCAGGGTGAGTCACTGGTGGTCAGTGATAGGGTCAAGTAAATCACGTGTCTTGGAGATAGGCGCCCAGAACTTTCAAGTAGCCGAGGCAAGGAGAAAACCTAATGCATAAGCACTTTTTCCATACTTGTCAAGAAAGAACAAAGACATTAAGATTTGTTACTTTTACTAATTCTAATCTAAGAAGAGGAACCAGGTGCAGAAGCAGAACATGAAAGTAGCCATGGAACGTAACCGCTGAGGCACAGCATCGCATAGAAACGGTTAAGCCCCTGGATGTCTGCAGGCCTCTCTGACAGCCGCCAGGCCTACCGCAAGAGCTTGCAGGGAGCAGAGTTTTCTCCTAAGTCGTCCGAGGGAGGAGACATGTCAGACGTCTCCTTCCCTAGATGGCTAAACAGCGGGCGCTTTCCCAGCGCTGGCGCTCCTGCACAGCCGAGGTGCCCTCCAGCAGGCCTTACGCGAGTGTGACAGAGGGTTTAGAGCATCTTGCTTTAGGGTCATCTCTTTCACAATGTTACTTCAGTTCCATGCTTCATGACCCGAGAATGATTAGCAAAATTAAAAGGTTATATTGAGTATATATATATATGATTACGTATGCATATGTGATTGATTATAGGAATAACTGTGACTATATCTCTAATTCTTTTCTAGTTCAATATTTATATGGGAACAGGCTGAGGCTTCAGATCTTTGCCTTGGGACTTGCGGGGTCTCCCATCCACATTTCCGCCGCCTTCACGCAGTGGAAAGCTGCCCAAGCCCCTGGAGTCCCTTTAAGACGGCTCTGCCCTCTTGACCTAGTCACCTTTGAAACACTCCTGAGTTGGAGTGCACATTCAGCTTACCCCAGCGGGGATAGGACCAGTGCTCTGAGGGCGTCTGGGCAGCTGCTTTTTCATCCACAAGTTCACTGGGTAATCCTCAGAAATTGCACAGATCATTAAGGGCATCCCCTTGTTAGGCTCCCCATAGGGAATCGCGGCTGGCAGTGACCAGATGATGGTGTTAGCTAGGGGTGTCTTGTGTGTTTTCTCTCTTTTCTTTTTTTTAACGAGACAGGGATCTCCTGGGCTCAAGCGATCCTCCCGTAGTCCCTTTGGGATTACAAGCGCGCGCGTGCCCGGCCCATTTTAACCTTTTTTTTGAGACAGAGTGTCGCTCTGTCGCCCAGGCTGGAGTGCAGTGGCGCCAGCTCGGCTCCCTGCAACCTCCACCTCCCGGGTTCAAGTGATTCTCCTGCCTCAGCCTCCTGAGGAGCTGGGATTACAGGTGTGGACCAAAACGCCCGGATAATTTTTGTACTTTTAGTAGAGACAGGATTTCACGGTGTTGGCCAAACTGGTCTGGAACTCCCGACCTCAAGCGATCCGCCCCCCTCGGCCTCTTAAAGTGCTGGGATTCCAGTAGTGAACCACCGCGCCCCGCCCATTTCAATCATTTTTAAACGTCCAGTTCAGAGGCGTTCCCGCGCCGGGCAGGGCCGGTGCAGCAGTGCGCAGGCGCGCGGGGGCGGTGCATTCCGCCAGGGCTCAGAGCGCAGAGTCGGGGCTGTGCGCTGCGCAGGCGCACGTGGCGAAGCTGAGCGGGCTCAGGAGTGACGTCACGGCGCGCGACGCGGAGGCGGGGTCGGCCCCGGATCCGACGGTAGGGGGTAGCCGGTCCGGGGTCGCAGGTCGCAGGCCGCAGGCCACGGTCGCCCCAGCACCATGTTCGGCTCCAGTCGCGGAGGCGTGCGCGGCGGTCAGGATCAGTTCAACTGGGAGGACGTGA